GCCCGGGGCCTAATGGCAGCGGCGATGACTTGGCCCTGAATAAAATGCCCATCAATGTCTCTGCAGATCCGAATATATTAATTTAGACTCTTGGCCCTATGCGAGTGCAAGGCCTCCTTGTTGGATGAGCTCTCCTCCACGCTAGAGATGGGGCTACCCTCAGTACCAGAATCTAGATGGGTCTGAGGTATAGCCCGCAGATGCGCAGACTTGGGCGTAAGGCCCAAGCTGTTGTTAGGTTCCGAAGTTCCTTCAACTATGTCAGACTTTCTGTCCCCCTAAAATCCCTCCACCGACCTGAGGGATCGACGGGTCTCTTCCTCCTGTATTTCTTCTAGTATTTCCTTAGCCGCAGCAACCTCCTGCCTGACCTTAACTTTGTCAGTATGCAGAGCATCACGGACTAAGCGCCATAGCGAAAAGGTAGAAGTAGGAAAACTATTGGCACCCTCTCTCTGTAAGCATTTCTGTAGGTCCCTTTTTACTTGTCCCCAATTTGAAATATTTAAGCCTCCTCCCGTTAAACACCACGGACTGGCTGAAACCACTGTTCCAAGGAAGGCTTCTATGGTGCGCTGCTAACTGCCATTCCCTGCTGCTCTAAAAGCTTTGAAACTTGATAAACTAATTCTTCCTTACTATTTGTGGATCCCATTTCTACCCCAATACGTCCTTACCGGTCCAGGACGACAATTCCTTGTTGCTTTAAAAGTTTGAAACTTAATACATTTATTTCTCTTTACCCCAATACGTCCTTACTGATCCAGGACGACAAATCCTTGTTGCTCTTAATGCATTAATTCCTCTTTACCGTTTGTGGATCCCAGTTTCACCCCAATACGTCCTTACCGGTCTAGGACGACCCTGTCCGTTGCTCCCTCTTTCTCAGATCTCGGTGGGACCTCCAGTTTGCTGCGCCAGCACGACAGCAGAGATGGTCTGAGCGAAGGACGTCAGGATTAAAGCACACACTCCTTGGTCAGCAAGCAAAGGCACACCTTATTTTTCTCTCCTTCCCTATTTATACCCTTCAGCATGGAGCCTGGGGCTGGGGGTAGGTGGAAGCTCTCAGCAAGTGCATCAATAACATGCGACAATAACATGGGGGTCAAAGAACACAAGGTAGCAAACACAAGGCAGGAACACTTCCTGCCTCCTGTTTTTCTGTTCCAGCACCCATGGCTCATTCTTTGTTTCCACACAACAGTGTGCATATGATTCTGTGGGGGAGGTGGGGAGGTCTGTCCAGGCAAAGGACCCAACAAAAGGACACAAAAATGCTAATTTGAAAGGAATCCTGAACTCTGATGTTTACTACAGCACAATTCACAATAGCCAAGATATAGAAAAAACACAAATGCCCCAAAATAGACAAATAGATAAAAAAGTTGTGGTATATTTAGGTAATGGATTATTATTCAGCAACCAAAAAAGAGAAACTCATAATGTTTGTGGAAGGGAGCATGCTAGCTGAAATTAGTCAGAAGGAAAATGATAAATACAGGATGGTCTCACTTACATCTATAGAGAAATGAAACAATAGGTCAAGAAAATATCAAAACTAGCAACCTGATCATACTACTGAGCCAAACAGTAAAGGAGAGGCTGGGAAGGGGATGCAAAATGGGAGAGATGATTACAAGTGAATACAGTAATGTTTCACAGGTGACAATTTGGCAGGAGAAAAATGGGGACTAAAACAATGTAAGAAAAAATATTTTAGAAAATAGTGGTTTTGAATTTTTTTAGTAGATGTCTAAGAATGGCATTACTTTATCATATGGAAGATCCAATTTTAATCTTTTGACATATGTCCACACCATTTTCCATAAGGACTGGACCAGTCTTCATTCCCACCAGCAGTGTAGGAGGGTTCCCTTTCCTCCACATTTTTACCATCACTTCTTTCTGGTCTTTTTGATACGGGCCATTCTCACAGGTATGAGATCGTATCTCATTGTGGTCTTGATTTACATTTCCCCAAAGATAAGTGATAACGAACATTTTTTCATATGCTTTTATTTGCCATCTTTATGTTATTCTTTGGAGATGTGTCTCTTTATTTCTTCTGCCCATTTTTTTTTTTGATTGGGTTGTTTTCTTTTTGTTGGGTTGCATGAGTTCTATACATCTTGGACATCAGTTTCAAGTATGGGATGTATGCGGTGCAAAAATTTTCATCCAGTCAGTGGGATGTCTCATTATTTTGTTAATGTTTCTTTTGCTATACAAAAGCTTTTTAATTTGGTGTAGTTCCATCAGTTAATCATTTCCTTCAGTATCTTTGCTTTGGGTGATGTGTCATTAATGACATTGCTGAAGTGTATGCCTTATAGTGTTTTGCCTATATTTTATTCTATATATTTTATGATTTCAGGCCTTATGTCTATATCCTTAATCCATTGTGAGCTGATTTTCATTCATGGTGTGAGGTTGTGTTCTAGCTTCATTTTTTTTTGCATGAAGTGACCCAGTTTTCCCAGCACCATTTATTGAACAGACTTTCTTTGTTCCATTGCATATTCTTTGCTCCTTTGTCAAAGATTAGTTGTCTATACATCTGTGGTTTTATTTCTGAGTTTTGCATTTGATTCCATTTGTATGTGTATCTGTTCTTGTTGCAATACCATGAAGTTTAGATTATTATGGTTTTGTAGTATAGTTTGAAGTCTGAGAGTGTCATACTTTCATTCCCTTCCTTTTTAGTTAGGATCTTCAGTTATTTTTAGAGTTTCCTTTTTATTTTTTTTCATTCACCTAGTAGCTATTCAGTAGTATATTGTTGAGTCTTCACGTATTTGAGCCATGTCCTACTTTCTTCTTATAGTTGATTCCCAATTTGATATAATTGTGCTCAGTAAAGATACTTTATATGGTTTCAGTCTTCATGAATTTATTGATATTTGTTTTGTGACCTAACATACGAGTCTGTCTTTGAGAACATGCCATGTGCAATTGAGATGAATTAGTTATTAACTACTTTAGGAGTGCACACTATCAATGACAAATCTATGTTATCTATTTCCTTATTTAAGGCTATTGTTTCCATGTTGATTTTTTTAAACTGATTAATCTATTGATGAGCATGGGTATTGAATTAACCTAAAATGAGTGTGGTATCACCAGTGTTTGTTTTTAGGTTTGTTAATAGTTGTCTTATGTAGTTTGATTCTCCTTCAGTTGTTGTATATATTTAGATGGGTGTTTATCTTCCTAATGTATTTTCCCCTTATCATTATATAATGACCAGTCCTTTCTCTTGTTACCACTTTTAATCTGTAAGTGTATTTTACCTGATATAAGTTTGACCATATCTGCATTCGGGGGAGGTCTCTTTTTCTTGTAGGATTGTTTTCTAACCCTTTACTTTTAGCCTCTGTGTATCATTGGAATTCAGATGGATCTCCTGGAAGCAGCAGAAAATAGGGCTTTATTTTCTGATTCAACCAGCCACACTGTCTTCTGGCTGTTGAATTCAATCCAATTACATTTTGGGTGGGTTATAGATGAGGATTTACTACTTCCATTTTGTTTTTATGTTTTATAATTTTATCTGTTTCCTTATCCAGTTTTTGTGGATTTTCTTCTTTTCAAATTATATAAGAGATCCTTTACTTTCAGCATTTCTTGTAGGCAAGGTCTAATGTTTGAAAGTTCTTACAGCTTCTTTTTTTTTTCTTCCAGTAAGTTGTTTATTTCTTCCTCACATTTGAAACTGAGTCTTGCAGTATATAGCATTCTTGGTTGGTAAGCTTTTTCTTTAATTATTTTGATTATGTCATTCAATTTTCTTCTTTCTAGTATGTTTGCTTCAGAGAAGTCTGATGTAAGCATGATGGGTGAATATTTATAAATTTCTGCTTTCCCCCCTATCTACCTCCATCCAGTTCTTTAATCATTCTGGTTTTATAAGGAGAGCTTTTGGTAGGTCATGTTTACCTTTCCACAAAAATGTCACCTACTTCCTTCCTTGATCAGTCTTATTCAAGTATCTTATTCCTACTTTTTGATCTATCCCACAGCCATGAATTATCCTCTCTTTATCATTATGTCCCAATAGACGACTTATAGCTTAAGGACCTTGATTCTGAAAGTGGTTCCCTTATATGTCCACATACATTTGTGCTGCTTTGTAAGCCTTGTTTCTCTAGCAAATTTTAGATTTTTGTGATGCAGAAAAATTCCCATGGTTATGATTCTTACTTATTTGCACATTTGTAAGATGTGATAGACATTGTCACTAAACCCAATGTCTTAGTACACTGGAGGGAGAATCTGGAATCAATAGTGTACATTTACTTATTCATGCATTATTTGAATATTAAAAATCACTCTTATTTATTCATTCAATATTCATGAGATAAACCTATTTGGACTAATCAGAAATACAGAAATGAGTCAGATGTGATCTTTGCCTTGAAGTAATTTTCAGTATACTAAGGTTATAAGAAATGTATAAAAATAACTACTATGTACATTACATTATGTACTTCCACAGGAGGGGTTAATGGAAAGGCACTCTAGATGGTAGGAGAAGCTTAGGCAAAAGTTGTCCAAATACTCTTCATTGTAACACATACTTGGGATTTCCTCAGTCTGCTCTTGGACTTGAAGTTTCAGCTTTCTTGTTTTTAGGTTAACTCTTCAGATTTTGCCTCAAATTCCTATCTACCATGGAGTTTCCCAGAACCTAACAATTCAGAGAGTATGTCAGTTTTGGAGTGAGGAGATAGATTGAGGGAAAATGAGAAAGACTGATATATAGTCATTTCTTTACTTTATACAATCTTTGCTTCAGGGTTTTTTGAAATTCTCTGCAACAATAAAATAAAAAAAAAAAGAACTGCTCAAGGGACTTGCCTTCAGTCGTGCGAATAAGGTTTTTGTGGTGAGAGAAAAAATGCAGTCAAACTTCCTCTTATAACAACAATTTTTTTTAGTGCTACCCAGTGTGAGACCTTTTTAGCCCAGCTCCCTGCGAAGAACAAGAATACTAATACTGGCTGAGCTCCGAGGTAAGTTAAAGCCTAGCATTTGGGAATTGGTGGTTCCATGTGGGAAGATTGATAGGGGTATGAAAATCCACTAAAGGAGCAGATGTGAGGTTAGTGTCCAATTTGAAATTGGACCCTGGTTTCCATTCTAGACTTTTTACTCAGAAGCAATGGAAACTATGCTTGAATCAATTGGGTAATTGTTATCTTTCCTACCATTACTTCCTGAACATAGAGTCTGTGATGAAGCTCAGTCTTTGCTGAGGGCCTTTTGTAGCGAAGAACCAAGTAAGGTGACCCAAAGTCATAAAATAGTAAAAAGTGTGTTCAGTGAGATATGTTAAGACAGCTAGATACACAATGCAGTGAGAGAAAGATTTGAACTACGGCATAATTTCTCTAGCTGAAAAATGAATAGTTTAATGGATAAACTTCTTGGCTTGATAAATTTAGTTTTAAGATATACAGTGATGGATACTTTATTATTTGGGGGAGAGAAGGACAGAAAATCAGATAGCAGATTTTGGAACAACTTAGGCTCACAATGCAGATGGGGTAACACAAGACCAGTGAAATGAAGGTATTTAGGATTACCCAGCTGCTTGAACAGCAGACTTGTAGCTAAAATCTTTGTCTCCTAACTCATGTTTCCTTCCCTTGTAGCAATTTGCATCTCAGAATATAGTGTAAAATATATTTGTATCTATATTTACTTTAGTTTAGGGAAAGACGAAATATCATAGATGAAAAGTCCTGGTGTAATGACTTCACCAAATGTTTGTTTAGAAGCATTTTTTTATCTTTTGGAAGCTGTTTTCTTTTTAAACGTTAATTCAGCCCTACTAAATAGAAGTGTCTTTCAGAAAAGGCACTTATAATTAAAGTGGTTATTGCTTTTATTACTCAAATTACTGGCATCTCCCTGATTCTGAGTCAAGGTGACTGAGTCAAAAGGAGAATTCTAGCTGGGGACTTCCTAAAGAACTGCCACTTCAGTTGGTAATTTGTACTTCTAGCAGTTTGTTTTATAGATAAATTTATTTTGATCTCCAAATATGTTTACTATGATGAGTATTTTTTTTTTTCAAGTAGCTCATGTTTCCTACTTGAAGGATTTTTCTGGACAGAATAATAAGATTTGTTGTACTTTTGGTGGCGAGTAGTCTCAGTTCCAGTAATTCTGTGACTAGTGATATTTTAATTTTTTAAAATATTTATTTATTCATACAGAACTGAGGTACAGGCTAGAGATGCGGAGGATGAGAGGATTCACCAG